AACCATGTTGCTTGTAACTTTAAATTTATGTTGTTTTATTTGTTTCCTACTACAATTTGATTGCTTATTAGCAACCCATGACTATCACTAAGTGTTGTATCTTATGATTCTTGATGGATGTATTTTATTTTTCTTTATGTACACTGAAAGCATATGCAAGAAAGACAAATTCCTTGTGCGTCCAATCACACTTGGCCAATAAAGAATTCTATTGAATTCTATTCAATCCTATTCCATTCTATTCTTTCTTATTTTTGAGCATAATTTAGATTGAAAAAATTTGATGCTAATGAAAAGTGACAGTTTTGTGCCTGGTCTAAATCAGTGATGGCAAACTTTTTTTGGCTTGTGCGCCATAAGGGGGGCACAGGAGGGGCGTGCATGTGCGTGCTGCACCCACAATGCAATGCGCAAACCTCCCCAGTGCACATTCGCACGTGAGAGGTGCTCCCCTCCCCCCATTTTTTGCATGCTTTTTTCTCCCTCTCAGGCTCCAGAAGCTTTATAGGATCCTGGGGAGGGTAAAAACAGCTTCTCCCGCCCCCCGGAGGCCCTCAGGAAGCTTCAGGGAGGGCAAAAATGACCCTATGAGCAAACCGGAAGTCACTTCTGGTTTGCTTGCAGGGCTGGTTTAAGCCCTCTGGAGGCTTCAGGGATCTTAAGGAGGCTTCCCTGAAGCCTCGAGAGGACTAAAAATGACCCTACGTCCTCCGGAGGCTTCAGGGAAGGCTCTGAAGGTGCTTGAAGTCTCCAGAGGGCTTAAACCAACCCTACGAGCAAACCAGAAATCCATCCCCAAACTTCCGGTTTGCCCGTAAGGCTGTTTTTTTTGCACTCTGGAGGCTTCAGGGAAGCTCCTGAAGCCTCCGGAGGAGGCGGGGGATGCTCTTTTTGCCCTCCCCAGGCTCCTATAAAGCCTCTGGAGCCTGAAGAGAACGATAAATGGCTTTAAAAAAGGCTGAATTCAGCTGGCCAGCTGACAGGGCAACGCCTCGCGTGCCCTGACAAATGGCTCCGCATGCCACCTGTGGCACGCGTGCCATAGGTTCACCATCCCAGGTCTAAGTCATATCCTGTAGAAAGACATAGGCTCCATGATTTCATTTATAATATATATCAGCTTTCTCCAATATAGTGTCAGTGAGAAAGTTTGAGGCCCACAACATATCAGAGAGTAACAGATTAGAAAAAGCTGATGTAGCTTATTAAACTACCAGATTCTTTTGCCGCATATGACATCATAATCATGTCAAACAAATTAATTGTATATTTCATAATGCATCAGAGGACAGTTTAACCTAGGGTTAAAGGTAGTTCCAATGCTTATATTTAAACAGCTGAATTATATATCAGGCTAAGGCAAGGTTTGATTAACCATGGTTTACTATACCAAAAATAATTGGCTAAATCCACACAAAATGGTAATCCTAAATAGGTTTTTATCATTTAACATAATGCTAACTAATTATCTTGCTCCGGACATAATACTATACTACAACTGAATATAAAGAAGCAATCATTCTACTCATTAGAAGGGCACCAAAGATTACCTGAGTCAGGAAGGATCCAATTTGAATGAAATATAATCTCTTTGCAGACTTGCCTAACAAATCACATTTTCTATCATAAGGAATCACTGCTTGATGAATATTTAGTTTACACACTGTCGATCTGATTGCATATCTGCATGTAAATACGTGTCAGCATTTATTTGTTGGGAAATTGCTGATCAGCAATGTGTACCTCAAGCTAGTTGTGCTAGAACTGTTTAAGGAACAAATCTTGATGTTCAAGATTTGATTCAATAAACCTTTGCAATTATTGTAATGTATTGGGTAGTGGTGCCTTCTGTGATGATTATACACAGCTGGGACAAAGATCCTAAGAAAGTTTAAAAAAAAATAAGGTTTTTTCCTTGTATTATGGTCTTAATACATGTGGAGATCATGAGTTAAGGGAGGCTGTTGTATCAACCAAACCATTGTTTGTGAAATTATTTGGGAAGTGCTATGCTCTCTCCATATGAGAGCACAGCACTTCTCAAATGATTTCACAAGCAATGACTTGGTTGATACAACAGCTGTAAAACTCTTAAAACTGTAGTAAATAACAGTAAGAGACATCAATCTAAAAAAGCTACAAGTTACAAAAAACACAAGAAATTGCTATCTATGTTCTTTAACAGGATGAAACTAAGTTGCAAACATTTGACTTTTAAGTTCTTTTACAGCGAAGCCAATAAATAAAACAAGTCAATAAATGGAGCAAAAGATGCCTCTTGTTAAAAAAAAATGTATATATGAATCTTTTGTAGAGAAAACATCTACACGACAAATACTGTGAACCAAATACTTGATTCAATTGTCTAAGAGAAGTGATGTCTGTTAAAGTCTAATGTTAGTTAAATGATTGATGGATTTTTTGAGGCTCAACGCAAACATGGACTCTGTGCCAGTGCTATTGCAGCAGCAGTGGTGATGAGATGGCTATCAGGGAGAGAAGAAGAAGGAAAGAAAGTGAAATCAACCATAGTGCAAATATCTTCGCAGCAGCTTTAAGTCTGGAGACCATGTTGCTAAGGAATGGCAACCATGCAGCACCTGGAGCCAGATTGGGCTACCACATGTATTGAATGACACCTTCATAATCCCTAATCAAGTTGTTCAGGCAGAGTTTGTTATTGCCCAAAATTTGGACAAAGTTCAAAAACTGGAAGTTGTAACAATAAAATTCAAAATCTCTACTGAGATCCATTAAATCAAGTTTTATTGTACATAGCACTTATTTCATTTCCAAATAAGATATTCTTTTTTTCAAAAAAGAAATATCTTGTATATTACAGAGCTTGAATTTAATAGATTATTAGAATTAAAGATAAATGTTTTCCTATTCATTAGTATCTGACTCTAGGGCACAGTGCTCATCTCTGTTTCTTGGTTGAGACAGCCAGCGTTGTTATTATAAATACAAAAGAATTTTCCACCTGACAAAATACCAAGCACTAATATTACTGGATCTGGGTTTTTAACTATACTTTCTAGTAGCAATAGCATATCAACACATTTAACATACCCAGCCATTATTCTGCTCAAAAGAGTGACATAGAGGGCAGTGCATGTTGAAGTAGAATTACTGTATTTCTCAAGCTTCTTCTCCTAAAGGAGTAGAAAACAAAAAAAAATGAATCTGTCTACAATGTTGAAAACTGTTATGAATACATAGGTTCATATGGAATTCAAGAAACATCACACCAACACAATCATACAATTGCCCTTTGCACTTATTGCCTTCCGGATGAGTCACCTTGTTACAAATAAATTTCATAAATAAATAAATAACTATACAAAGCAAAATATAATAAAAATAATTTTCAAAAATATATTTTTACAAAAAAATAGTAATAAAAGTGCATTACAGACAAAGTTCCAACATAGTGAAACAAGGGCATAAGTATGGAACTCTGGATTTTTTAAAACTAGGTGTCAACTTGTAAAGCGTTACTATGACTATTATCAAGTTGACATTGGAGGGAGGATTCCATGCATACCTTCGGCCAGAGTCGGATCTCATATTTCTACAACCACGTTGGTGGATATGATTTATGACACAGACTGAGGGAGGGGAGAGTTAGGAGTAAAGTGCAAAGACCATTAACCAGATATCAGTNCCCGCCTATTAAGCAGTCACTTCTTTGAACCTTCCAACTCTTTTCAGCAACTTTTATCTTCTGGAGTCCATGTCAGGTTTTCGTTCTTACTGTGGTTGATCTTTAGGCTCTTCCAGCTGTCCCTTCCTGTCCATTCTAACACAGTGTCTCTGCTCTGCTCCTTCTCGGCAAAATTGTACTGTAAAAACAGCCTCTCTCCCAGCTACTTCTTCTTCCAGCACACCCTCTCTGCCAGTTTCGCGTTGCTCTCCTCTCTGGATTGTCAGCAGTAATAACAAGCATTCGATTTCAACTGCTTCTATCTCTGTTCTTCCTTCAATGCGGCCGCCACTGCTAAGGTCCTAACCAAAAAGTAGGATATTTCTTCGCTCGTTTAGGGGGTTTCTCCTATCCACAGGGGATTTGCCTTATCATCCAGGGTCTACAGAGTATCCCCTTTGATCTGCTGATCTCCTTGGGATCAGCAGTGCTCCTAACCCCTAACTCTAACCCCTGCTTTTCTTAATGTTCTATCGGTTTTTAAAATATCTGAATGGGAGCTCTTGGTTTATTGCTTACTTAAATCCAGTTTGAAGCCAGAATTAACAGATATTTATATTTTGAATCAAAAACATACACAAACATGTTACTCAGGCATTACTATCCATCCCACAGGACAGTGATTTCTACTTCTAGGCATTTTAAAATTGTATTTTCCAGAGACTGAAACTGATATTTCCTCCATAAAAACAGCATGCTTTGCTCACTGAACTGAATTCTCCTAGTTAAGCAAAAGGATGAAGGAGTAACAACAGAGAAGAAGCACCGCAGTAAACCAAAACTGTCTTTGGTACAGTCTCCCACCCGCATGAACAGCAGGTATCAGCAATCTGTGAATCAGCCCTTGAAATATTCTGAAATGCAGTTCCCACAACCTATTCTGAGTTATTATGGTATTTGTAGTTAACAAGAACGAGGTCCAAATCATCAAGAGGCCACCAGATTGTTTACCTTTTATATATTATTCAGCAAATTATCTCCCTCTGTACATTTTAGATATATGATACGAAACAGAACAAAGAGCTCTTTATTTCCCTTTCCAGTCTAAAACAAAATCCCTGACAAGGGCAACAGGACATAACTTTTGAACTGTAATAAAGAAAAAATATACCAATATGACATTTAGATGATTTGGGAAGAATTCTTTTACTAATTTTTGCTCTGAATAACCAAAATGCATAATTAGACCTATACCCTTTGTTATTTAATTCAATAGGATTCCATGTTTTTTTTTAAAAAATCTTGTTACCAGAAACCTACAAACAAAGCCATCATCTAAATACTTCATTCTTACCTTTTATAAAGATTCTGAGATATAGAGAGATTCAATAAGCATTTATGTAACTTCTGCTTATCCCCTTGTTGCTGGAACAACCAGGGCAATTCATCTGCACTCCTCCATGTCATTCGTTCTCCACTAGGGTGGTTGTAGTGGAAGAATAGGTAAGAAAGTAAATTGCAAGGAAATGGAAGTAATTATGTAAGTTACAATAGAATTATAATACTATTTTACAAAAGCATTTATTTGAACATGAAATATATATCTGTTCTTTCTACATGTAATTTTTTTCAATTTGTAGTGATAATGTAAAAAAAGACCAGAGAAAACAAAATTAAGAAGTTTCTTCTATTGGTGAATCACAACTAACATATAAAAGGAGAAGTGGGGGAGGAATGTCCTGCCTGGGAAAACAACATAACACAGAAAAAGTTCTACTAAAATATTCTACTAAAATATATCATCTTTCAATACTCTCAACCATGTTATCCATTTGGATCAATTATGTGAATTAGGGCTGGGCGGCATATTTTTACACTAGTTTAGCTGCTTCCTCCAAGGCCAGCCCCAATCAGTGTTGATAGGGAATGAGAGAGATCCAGTCCTCAACTGCTTGCTTGAACTGTGCAATGCATTCTACATAGAGGTACCCCAAAGTCCACTAGATTTCAGCTGGTGCAAAATCCAATTAAAGAAATAGACAGACAAATAAACAAATAACAAAATGAGATAGTGGTGAAAATGAGATTTAAAATATGGGGTTCCTGAGTTATACCATAGTCCTTTAGCTGCCCTATCATTTAATATTTAAACTACAACTACTTGGTGTGTAATATGTAGGGCAAACATAATATTCATAGTTTTTATCTTCTTACAACAATCAATCACAGATAATGAAACTGCAGATAAGAAGAATGTGAAAAAATATGTGTACTTAAAAGCTGCCATATTTTGCATGCTTAAAATTTCCCAAAACATGCTCCAAATTGTGACTATGTGAAGCCATTTATCATGGATACCAAAATATGAGCTGGATAAATTTTCTGATGAGAAATCCTGCTGACAACAAAGCAGTTATAACCAAAGCTACCTTCATCATTTACATAGTAACTAAATAATTTCTGTATCTCATAATCTAAAAATCTTACCTCAGTTGCCTGGTAAAATAGTCTATCAATTTTTCTCTGTGAGAGGCAAAACCATTCTGACTTCCTCCTATATATTCCAATTTCACTGTATCCCAAGCCTGAAAAGAAACACTAGTTCTATTGTGTAACAATAGTAACAAATAAACATATTAATAAACATGCATGCTGCCCAACTCAATGCCTCTGAGAAGTTCCTAACATTCAAATATAAAAAAATTATGATATAATCAATTACTTAGAAAAGAAAAATAAATTAAGCACATCTCACACTGTCTGCCAAAGGCCTGGATGAACAACCAGGTTTTTATGATTCTTCTAAATTAGGGGTCCCCAACCTCTGGGCTGCAGCCCATTACCTACTCGGAAGGGGCCTGTGCGAGCTGTGGGCCAGCATGCACAGGTCAACTTGCACGAGCAACAGGCCAGCACATGTGGGCACATGCGCACATCTGAACTTGCAAGTGCTGCGCGTCCATGTGTGTGCATGCCAACCTGCCAATCACGCAAGTCAAGCTGTGCATCTGCACACACAGCCTACTGCTCATGTAGTCCGGTTCCTCCCCATACCCAGGCCACCAAGCAGCAAAGGTTGGGGACCGCCATTCTAAACTATAGCAAACAAGAGCCTCTCTGGATCTGTGGGGATTCCAGAATTCCAGAACATTACTACAGAGAAGATGTGTTTGCTGGGTCCACAGATGACACTGATTAAACAAAGGAACCTAGAGAATACCTGCAATAAGTGTAACTTTCCAATGAGAATAATAAATGGTAATCAGCAAATCATTTCCCAGGAAATAAAAGAAAAACCCAGGCTTATGCAGGTAGAGGTAGTCCTTGACTTACAAAACAATTGAGCCCAACATTTTGTTGTTAAGCAAGACATTTGTTAAATGAGGTTTGCTCCATTTTATGACCTTTCTTGGCTCAATTGTGAACCACTCAAAAAAGTGAACCACTGCAGTTGATAAGTTAGCAACTTAGATGTTAAGTGAATCTGGCTTCCCCATTGACTTTGCTTGTCAGACGTTCTTAAAGATGATCACATAACCTTAGGACACAGCAATGTTCATAAATATGAACCATCTTCCAAGCATCTGAATTTTGATCACATGTTCATGGAGATGCTGCAAATATTGTTATATGAAAAACAGTCTAAGGGGTGGCATTGAAAAATGTTAGCAACAGGTTCTCTGCCCGGTTGCTGGGTGGGCCTATTCAGCCTCCTGTACCACGGCGGGGGTGTGTGTGTGTGTGTGTGTGCTTTCCTCAAGCCTCCGGAAGGGCAAAAACAACCTCCCTTGGGCTCTGGAAGCCCTCCAGAGGCCAGAAATGGCCCCATTTTTGGACTTTCAGTTGGCCTGTTTTTCGCTCTCCCCAGGCTCTGGAGGTTTTCCTCGAGCCTACAAGAGGGTGAAAACGGCCTGCCGGGCTCTGGAAGCCCTCCAGAGGCCAGAAACAGGCCCATGGAGCCCTGCACTTACCTGGCATGATGAACGGGCCATGTGGAGACTCCTGGGAGGGGAGGAGTGGGCGTGGCCAGCCAGTCCTTGCAACTGTGGTTCAGCGAATCAGTTGCAAAATTAACATCCAGTTCACCTGAACAGGTGTGAACCGGCTGAATCCCACCCATGGTCAAAAGTCACTTTTTTCAGAGCTATTGTAACTTTGAATGGTCATTAAATGAATTGTTGCAAGTCAAGGACTATCTGTATTTTTACAAATGCTAGGCTATTATAGTGAAATATGTACTGAATTTTACTTGCCATTTCTTGCCTGCTGTGTGAGAGCTTTTCCATCAATACTGGATAAAATAATTTATTTTCTTAAGAACAAACTCATAGGGAAGTGGTGTGAATATAGGAAATAAAAACTACATTAATAGTGATATATTAATCCGTTACTTTTTAACTTTTAAAAAAATCTGTCCAAAGCATTAACAGAAACTGGCAATTGAGTAGATATAGTAAATACAGTAAAATTATTAGGTAACTAATTTCTTTGCCAAAATACCTGAAGATGCTGAAAACTTAACAAACCACAGCTATATGTCAAAATGCACATTTTGTGCATACTGTAAATTAAGGAGGCAAGCATTTCCCATGATAGTTCAGGGCAGAGTTCCATGAGTTCTGATTCACTGATTCCATTGTGACTAACACTGATGAGGCATAGAATCTACAGAACAAACACACAAATAATTTTATTGTATTTATTGATTCTGCCACATGAATATCAAGACAGATAACAGTACTGTTAAGAAAACCAGGACCTGTTTTATTAAACTACTGTTATGCATTTCTTTATTGGGTTTCCCTTTATAGAAAAATCTTCTATATGGAGATCATAAAGTATCCTAATACAGGTAAGTCCTCAACTTGTGGCCACAATTGGGACTGCAACTTTTCTCATCATGTTATTGATAAATGAGTCATTATATGACTGTGTCCAATTTTACAATACTTTTTGCCATGATTATTAAACAAATTCAGTTTTGCCCTTTGACTTTGTTTGTCATAAACTAGTTGGGAAGACTACAAGTGAACCTTGGACACTGCACCTATCATAAATACATGCCAGTTGCCAATTACCCAAATTGGATCATATGATTAAAAGAACCCTGCAGTGGTCATAAATGCGGGATCTGGTCATGTCAATTTTTTAGTGCCACTCTAAAGGTCTCTAAACAGATGGTCATAAGTTCAGAATTATCCGTATTTTTCTTTGCAGAATACAAAAAAAGGCTAATTTAATTTTTTTTGTTTCATTTTTAGTGTTTTTATTATACTATTTTGGCTGTTAGCTGCCCAGAGTTATTTATGTGAGATGAACATTTCTTAAATAAGTAATGATCACAAAGACAAGGGACTATATTTACTTTTTTTCCTGAAAATTCTTGGATTTTCTTTTTTTTATTATCAATTTTTCAACATGAATCTCAAGTTTATAATGAATCTTATACAACTGAAGTTTAAAAAGAAATAACTGTTTTGAAAGACAAATGTAAAACAAAGGGGTTTGGATGATCATGGAATTAGACTGCAAAGAAAACTTCTAAATTACTAAGTCCAATCCCGCAGAAAATGTTAATCAAAATACCAATGACTGCCAGGAAACAAGGGAAGCTACAAGTCTCCCATCTTATTAGAAGAGCGAAAAACTGAACTTACTTGCCTTTCATTATTCATATACTAAATTAGTGTTTTTCAGCTTGGCAACTTTACAATGTGTTGACTTTAATTCTCAGAATTCCCAAATCAGCATAGTGGCTATTAAATTCTGTGAGTAATAGTCTCCAAACTGTAATGCTGTCAAATTTGAAAAACACTGTCTTAAGTGCCATATCCATAAAATTAGATGTGCTACTGAATCAGCCTTTCAAACTTGCCTCTTTCATGAGCCTTTTCTCCTTTTCACTTTTCAAGGATTCTTCAAATGATCTCAAAACTAGCTGGTAAAGAGCCATGACATCCTGGCACTCAAAACACTTCTCTAGAAGTACATCAATATCTTCTGTGCTTTTGGTGCTGTATAATAAAAAATATTTAAAAGGATAATAAACAATACATTTGAATTTTCACTTGAAATAGGCAAGTATTAAGAATCATAAATCTTCACAACTAAAGCTCAAATGATAATGATGGTTCATAATCTAAAGTCACCTGTTTGACATGGGAGAAATTGAATAAAATAAATAAATAATACATAAGAGCAACTGCTAATGCATGCCACATTTTGTTAACAAGGGAGATAAAGGGAGGAGAGATGAAAATATGGCTATACTTTTGGCAAATAAGTTGCCTCTAAGATACGTTTTATCCCAAAGAGCTCAATCAGTCTTAATTTTTAAGGGCGAGACATCAGGCAGAAATTCTTCAGGGAAACAACAAAATGAAAATTTAATCTAAATAAAACATTTGAATTTACTAACCAAAAGATATCTAAAGTTAGCTTAGTGTTTACTGTGCTAAAGCAAAGCAAGCCCCAATATAAATATAATATAAATAAGAACAGTTAATAAACCTGTAAATTAACTGTTAATTACTAAACCTGTTAATTAACCTGTTAATTAACCTGTTAATTAACCTGTTAATTAACCTGTTAATTANAACCTGTTAATTAACCTGTTAATTAACCTGTTAATTAACCTGTTAATTAACCTGTTAATTACCAGAAACTTGTGAATATACAGTAATAATAAACCTTGATTCACAGCTAAATCTAAGCAGCTACATCGTACCAAAGAGGAAGCCTACAGAAAAGGTGATAGAATGCTATATGATCAGGCCAGAAACATATTAACAAGGGAGATCTGAGCAGCAAAAAGAAGCTACTCTGAAAAGCTAAGTAATCAGTTCTCAATAAATGAACCAGAAAACATATGGAAAACTCTTAATAATATCACTGGTTACAGCAAACCTCCTTCCCATGCTGAAGGAAATCAACAATTGGCAGATGACCTGAATCTAGGTTTGAGAGAAAACTACTGCCACCCATCTCCACAATCTCCATCTCAAATATATAAACAACAGCTAAGCTTCCTACAACCTACCCCATCCCATTGGGCCCACCATCCCTGTGATTATAGAGAATGAGGTGCAAGGTCTATTTCACAGACAAAAACCAGGAAAAGCACCAGGCCCAGACAAGATAACTCCTTCTTGCTTAAAAGCTTGTGGTGACCAACTGGCCCCCATCTTCACCCACATCTTTAATAAATCACTAGAAATGTGCTATGTTCCTTATTGCTTCAAATGCTCTACTATCATCCCAGTATCAAAGAAATCTTCCACCAAGGAACTGAATGATTTCAGAGCAGTTGCTGTAACATCTGTAGTTATGAAGACCTTTGAAAGGTTAGTGCTGGCCCACCTGAAAACCATCACGGATCCGCTGTTAGACCCCTTGCAATTTGCCTACTGAGCAAATAGATCAACAGATGATGCTATTAATATGACTCTACACCACATCCTACAATATCTTGAATATCCAAAGACCTATGCAAGGGTCCTCTTTGTAGACTTCAGCTCAGCATTCAATACCATCATTCCAGATATAATTCTAACTAAACTAAATCAGCTAGCTATACCTGACCACACTTGTAAATGGACCATAAGCTTCCTAACAGACAGGAAGCAGCAGGTGAAGCTAGGCAAAATCACATCAGAGATCTATACAATTAGCACAGAATCCCTCCCCAAGTGCTCTCTCCACTTCTCTTCTCTTTATGGACCATGACTGCACCTCAAAAGATTCCTCTGTTAAAGTACTGAAGTTTGTAGATGATACAACAGTGATTAGTCTCATTCGAGACAACGATGAATCTGCATACAGACGGGAAGTTGAACAACTAGCCTTGTGGTGCAATCAGAACAATCTTGAACTAAATACACTCAAAACCATAGAAATGATGGTAGATTTTAGAGAAACCCTCCTATACTACCACCTCTTACAATACTAGACAACACAGTATCAACAACAGTAGAGACCTTCAAGTTTCTAGGTTCTATAGAAAGCTCAAACTGCCCAAGGAGCTGCTAATTCAGTTCTACCGAGGAATTATTGAGTCTGTCATCTGCACCTCTAGAACTATCTGGCTTGGCTCTGCAACCAAACAGACTTCAATGGATAATTAAAACTGCAGAAAAAGCAATTGCCACCAACCTGCCTTCCATTGAGGACCTGTATACTGCACGAGTCAAAAAGAGGGCTGAAAAAATATCTACAGATCCCTCAGATCAGTGGTGGGTTTCAAAAATTGTTTGAACCTACTCTGTGGGTGTGGCCTCCTTTGTGGGAGTGGCTTGCCGCCCATGTGACCGGATATAAAGATGCCGACAACACTTGTCAGAACCATTTTAAATTACCTCACACACAACACTGGCATGCATAAGAATATGATGTAAACTTG